AATCGAGTCAACCCCATTCAGTTTTCCCCTAGGTTACCTAATTTTTGGGTTTTTCAATTTTAAATATTGACCAAATTACGAAAATTTTTTGTCGGACCCGAGATTGGAACTTAAAAGTTTTTGACTTTGAAACTTATGACTTCATCACTCGGCCAAAAGCGCTTTTAACATTCAAATTGTTCTTGAAAGTTATGTCCCACTTTGACTGTTCTGTGGCTAATTGATAGGCATAGAATCTAATTGAAGAACGATCAAACAACCTCAAAGAACAAAACATTAAATATCACAAGGTCAAATCAAAGAAATTAATTTTGCAAAATAGTTTCGGACAATTTTGTCTGGGACATAACTTTCTGGTAAAATTTCATAATTTTGGACTGTTTTGTCACGGACACAAATGTCTGAGACACAAATGTCTATGCACCCTCTAATTATTTTCTAACAATGAAACGCATATTTTCTAACAATGAATTTTCAATTGAACAAGTACAATTCATCAACATAATCTAATAATCAATTACGAAAGATAAAAATTGCAAATGTTTGAGTGATAAAAAATTTTGCACTGAATTGAGCTGATTAAATTGGATTTGAATTAGGAAGAAGCAATCGGTTTTGTTTTTGAATACTAAACAACTGCAGTTCTCGAATCGTTTTCTAGGGGTATTGCGGGGGGAGTTCGTTTGGGGGGTACAGTTGTTCTAGCCGTCGGGTTGTTTTGCTGTTGTTGTTGCTGCGTTTGTTGTTGTTGACTCTTATGAAGCGAATGATTACTTCCGGAATGACTGAGTCCCGTTTGACTGGAAGCCGCGGATGACCTTACGACGTCTGGAATGTAGTTTGGATCCCCTCGCATTCGTTCCAGCGCAAAATTCTCGGCTATCGGCTCGAGTTCCGAGAGCCCAATTCGGTTTATATTCCCATTGGAGTTCGTGTTCGCACCTGGCGAGCTGTTGCTGCCGTTCATACCTCCGGGTTGGTTCTGTTTGAAGGAATTAGCGTCACGTGGGAGATTCCACTTCTCGTGATTCGATGCTGGAGGCTGGAGGATTTGCCGAGAAGGCGTGATCAAAATACCACCCTTGGTAGGAATGTCAGGGTTGTTCGACTGCTGTTGTTGCTGATGTTGTCTGTTGTTACCGGGAAGTGTGCTACTTTCCTGGACACGCGGTTGCCAGCAATCATCTTCCCGGTGGTCGCCGTACATGGGAGCCGGAGCCGCATGTCTGGATTTTTTTCCTGGCAAAATTCATTTTCGATTAGGGATCGCAAGCCAGGCTGACTAATTTGACAGACTAAAAACGCCTTCTTGCTTTGAAGAAAAATAAATTCAATTAATTGCATGGCACGGAAGTATTATGATTTTGATTTAACTTCCAGATTTATATTTTAAAACTTTATTGACTTTTTCACGTGGAAAATTTCTGTATATCAAACTGTCATGAAAAAAAAATAATTCTTCCTAAATTTCTGATGCATGTAAATATATAAAAAAACCCACAACACAAAATTTTGAACAAAGTATTATCACTCCAAAAAAAAGAAAATTGAAAAAAAATCAAGTCAAAAAAACGAAAAAAAAAAAAAATTTCGACAAACGTCTGCTAATTTTCAGCATACTGTTAATCTTTTCGCGATAGCAAATATGCCGCAGTTTGACCAAGAGAGGATGCAAGACTTTCAAAATTGTGCTATTTTAAGTGAAATAAACTGATAAGTTCTCAATTCAACCAATTTAATTTTCTGGTACCTAATTTTTATTATTAGGCTCAGTTTTTAATTTTAAAAAAGTAGGTACCAGAAAATGAAAATTGAACTGAGAATTCCCGATTACTTTTCAATTTATTACAATCAAAATAGCCGGCGCTAGAAAGTCTTAATATCAGAAACCGGTCTCACCATTAGGAAGACTCTTTGCACCCCGAATTGTTGCCAGATGTCCGGCTGAGTTGTAACCCATCGGGTCGACCAGTGCCTCGCTGCCCCTGCCAGAGTCAAAACTGCTCGAGTCGGACCCAGCTGGCTCCGGACTTCCGCTGTGCATTCGTCTGGAAACCTTTAATAAAATACATAGATGTCAAAATCAACCAAAAGCAGCATGGTTGAATAGAGTATTGCACAGGGACGGATTTAAGGGAGAGACACCCCCTCTCAGGGATTCGACCCCCTGCCGATCCCAAGGGTCCCCCTTTGTATGATTTTGACTTATCCATTTTTGGTGACGGACCCTAAAATTTTTCTGAAGGCGCCACACTCTTTATGGTCATTATTTTACAAAACTGCCTAAATTGCCTTTTTGGCCTGTTTTTTTTTCAAAATTTGCCTGCGGTGCAGAACATTTGGCCAATTTTAACTTTTTTTGGAAAATCCGCCCCCCCCCCTCCCCCTCGAGAAAATCTTAGATCCGCCCCTGGAATTGCAAGAAATAAAATTTTAGCATGATCAAAGTTAAAGCTAGAAAATTTTTAAAGCTGTTTTTGCATTTCTAAATTTTGGTGTAAGTTTTTCAAGAATGTACTACAGCTCTCAAAGAAGGATTGCAATAACTAGCAAAAAAATCTTAGCGCAAGGTATAAAACATAACTTTAAAATTTTAACTGGTTTCAACGACTTTGCTTGATTAGTGATTAGCACCACAAAGTAGAAAAAAGCCAAAAATTCACAATGTTAACCGGTTGTTGCGCAAGTTGCACGCAAGGTTCCGACCATATTGATTAAAAACCTACTTTTTTTTTTAATTGCATCCGTTTTTTGTTTTTTGATGCGATAAGTGAATCTAAATGAAAACCTAGAACTTCGATAGTAAAAACAAATGGAGTACATTTGACAACAGTTTTTTTTAAAAGTTTTTAAAAAAATTTTATTCCCATAACCAGATTTTTCGATAACTAATTTGACTTAAGCTAATTTGACTTTAATCGCTCGAAATTAGACGACAAATGATATATTTCAAGATGGTTTCTCTCGAAACTGGAAAGTTTTTTCGTAATGTGAATCACGAGTAAAAGGGCTACAACATAATATATTACTCGATCCATTCGGATGATTATTTGTGGTACCTGATTTCGCACGGAAAACACAAAAACTAAAACAAACCCGAATACAAAGTTCGTCCCCATTTTCAATGGTCGGAGCAAAAAAATTATGAGCGATACTGAGAAAATTTATTTTTTTAAATTATTTTTCAAAATATTCTCAAAATCATGTTTGAATGAGATTTCATGTGATATTTTGCTCGAATGACGCTTCTTTGTCGGTCCTGATGTTTGTGGAGAAATAACACATGCGAAGTTGGAGAAATATTACATAATGGTTTCCCACTGCGAAGTTCAAACGGAGAGCGGAAGTGTGATGACGTCTCCTCCTCTCAATCGAAAAGTTGGATTTTTGAGGCCCACCATGATCTGTGATTGCTGCTTACGGGTGAGGCAACACTACCCAGCCCAAAAAAAAATAACCAAAAAAGCTCATGATAAATAGAGGCAGAATAGCGGTTCACCGTGAAAAGCTGAACAGCTCGTATGTTGTTCCTTCGTGGATAAACCCCGTACTAATAATCATACTAAAAAACTCACCAAATCACAGTTTGAAATCTTAACACGATCATGAACACCATGTATTGAGAACCTGTGGTCGCTTATTGTCGCAGCCTATTTTTTAAACAAACTCTATTATTATACATTATTAGATTAAAAATCAGGAAGTGTTTCCTGTTATAAACTTTAATAAACTATTCCCTTTGATTCGCTTTGATTTGGCTGAAAGTTTCCGTTGGCCAAAATTTTCACATCAAAAATAAATAACAACTTGGATCCGTTGAGTTAGGACTGGGGTGTATAACTCATAGAGTAATTTCGGATAGGGTACACCGTCTGCTCGTCACGCTATCTTATTTTCGGCCGGATAGATTCGTGCAACTTCTTAGTCTAATACCGATCCTAATCTTACTCTTATACTATCTAGTCTCAGGTTGTTTAACTAGTCTCTGCTAGGCTCAATAGATCTAGGGTATACTGGTTTATTGCGGCTGCTGAAGTGCTCGGGAGAGTCCAACTAATTTCTAAGTTAAATTCAAATCTCTCTGGTGCTGAAATTACAAGTAACTTCAGCACTTACAAATAAGTGGGTTGTTAGTTAGATGGATCATGATTGGTTAATATTAAATACTTTACATTGGTAAAACATTTAATTTATCCAATCATAAAATATAGTTTAGATCAGGTTCCACCCATCCGGGTTTTACAGAGTTTTTTAGAACAGTTCTTCTGTAGTTCAAGGATGGATGATGGACGTTGGTATTTGGCGAACATCATTTTTCTTTTGTTTCCTTTTTGTTAAGGAAGTTCCAGGGATCTGGAATTGAGGACACAAGACGTTGTGTTCTTCTTGTGACAACGACTGAGTCTCTGCAACAGCATCAATTCTGGTTTTAGAATGGTTGGCTATGTCAGGTTTTTCTGTTCTTCGGAGAGAACTTCTTTTGTGTTTGATCTAGCTCGGGAATGGCGTGGAGATTGAGCATGGAGGGGATGCCTGGTTACTCGGATCTGTACGTATACTTGAACATCGAGGTGGTCATTGGTCTAGTTCAATGAAGTCCTTTTCTGCGAAGTCAAGTCGTACTCTAAATCCTTTGAGTTGTGATTGTGAGCGGCATATCGATTGTAGTTGGTCATTCTCTCTCGAGTGTAGTGAGGTCGTCTTGTCTTTTGATGTTCGTCCTTGGTGTTGTATTCTGATCTATATATTGCATCATGTGATTTTACATTTTATAAAACTTTTATTAGTTTAATATTTTTTAATAATGATTTTAGTTAGTTGTTTTCACAAAAGCTTTTTGTTTTAGTTCGGTTATTCTGAAGAGTTACTCACCCTTGAGTAGCTCTTATTAAAAATAAAGGTGTGGTCACAAAGCGTGGATGTAGCGCGGTGGGTTAGGCCGGCTATAGAGCATGCTCAGGACGTCCTTTCCTGGTGGGTTAGGCCAGGTGTGGGAGTATGATTTCATGCGGTTTTTATGAGGAGTCCTGTTATGTGACAACATTTTATGTTGGGTTTGTTGTGGTTTTACTTATGTCTTGTTGGTTATGTACTTTTTCCAAAAAGCAAATTGTTTGTGGTATGGGTTTGTCTTTCGACTTTTTTGTGTTTTATTATCTCTTTCTAAGACTTTGTAATAGTCTTCAAAAGAATAAATTATCCAGTTTTAAACTGGGTTAATCCGGTTTGGGTACCGTTGGTTTCCTTTTCTAAGTCATGCTGTTATTTTATGATTTGTGGTATTTAGTAAGCTGCGTTGGTTAGTTTTGTTTAGTATATGATTCCTTTCCAACCGGGTTAAAGGAAAGTTTGAAACTTGTTATTATATGTTAGAGTTGTTGAGTGTGAAAACTTGAAACTGAAATTCATTATTTTAAACAATTTTTCGTGGGCGAGCTGTGTGAGTGTGGATAGAATTTCTGTGCGAATGAATGAAAATATCAAAAGGTTAGTACTGCAATTGCATTTTATTAATTTACTGCATAGAATTTGGAAATTTACTGCTAGTAATGGGGGAATTTTAAGATACAAATTTTCATCATATGTAGATTTATTGCTTTGGGGGAAAATTTTATAAATTAATTTACTGCATTGGTATTATATTTATTTAATTGTTGGTGCAAAAGTTAAAAGGGTCTTAAACAGTTTTGAAGAAGTTTGCTATTTTTTATTTTTCTTTTGTGAATTTTTCAGATGATCGAAGATGAAGGCTAAAAATCTAAAGAAAACATGAATAAAGAATGGTGAGTTTTTTAATATTTTAATTAGTTAGTTATATTCATTTAATTCATACTTACCTGTTAGTCGTCGGGGAAAAAACCGTGGGGGAAGATATCGTGAATTAGTTCTGAAGTTGTTAGTAGTTTAGCTAAGATGCGGATGATATTTTTAGTTTGAAGCAGTGGCCAAAGCAATTGAAGTGCCTTAATAGTGGTTAGTTCTTCAGTGCCTACTGCAAACTCATAAGGTGTGTTTTGGATTAAGTTATATAATTTGTGGTTAAATTTAGTGTTGTGGATGAATTCTAAAATGGGGATTTCTATAGGCTGTACAAACTCGTGCGGGATAAGGAAGGGTCGGGATTCTTCGGCGTTGAAGGTCTTGGTGATGGGGCAGAAAATATACATTTGGGTTATGGGGTCATAGTTACGAAGAATACCATGAAGGTTAGTATCTTTAATACAATATGTGAAATTTAGGAAATACGGTGAAGTGTATTTTGAATTGATGAATTGAAAGCGATGGTGTGGTTGTCTAGAGGGTGTGTGGAGGTCAAAGTGATTTTGGATGAAACGATAGTAACTGTATGTATGTGTTTGTTTAGTTCGCAACATAATATCGTGTGAGCAGTGTAAATCTCTTTCGTGTGGTGCAAGGAAATGAAAGGTTAGTGAAAAGATTTGGAAGCGTTCTTTAAAACTTTCGTACGCTTGTGTGCTTGTTAGTGCTTCTGAAATAATGTGATCAAACTTTCGGTCGAAGATGTTTAGTGTAAATACATATGGTGTCTTGATGAAAAATTTCTCGGTGATTTGTGGGTTAGCGAAGCGATCGTCGTCTAAGAATTGATCTTGGTTAGCTCTGATGATGTTGTGATCGTAGTATTCTAGTGTATATTCATTAGCTCTAGGTGCAGTGTGTATTTTTAGTGATTTTTTATATCCTACGTAAGTAAATTGTCTAGCGGTGAGTGGTGTAGTTAGTCGATATAGCATGTCTTTGTTTCGGTCTATATCGATGGATGTGTTGGTTAAAGGTAAGCAAAGAGGGTTAGTGAAATGATAGTATGAGGTCCAAGAGAGAGTGGGCATTAAAACGTATTCGTCTACAAAGTTGCGTGTTTCGTTAGCGTCATGAGGGGTGTTTAAGGTGTATTGTGGAAATGAGGGTAAAGTGATAGCTAAAAATTCTCTAGTGTTAGTATGCTGGGGGTGGTTGATGTATTCACGGGCTGTTCCTGGTTTTGCTGGGAAAGGATGGTTGGGGAACTTTCTTTTAAAAGTGCGGTAAGCTCTA